CAGTTCAGCTGGCTCGGCGTCAGATCTGTGTTTTCTCCCCGGCGTCTGATCATGCTGGGGAGAAAAGGCGGCGCGGCCAGGGGATCCGTGGGATCCCGCCACGGCGTTTCAACTTTGGTGCGGCTTTTAAAAGCCATGCTTTTTGCCGCTTTTCCCCCTGCCGTGTGACAGGGGCCTAAGATAACTTTTTGGGAGCATAAATTGAGATAAGCATTTTGTGCATTGCAAAGAGCTATAAGCCCTTTCTAACACTAGTAGAAGAAGGTGGGTGTAGGATCTCAGCTTGTAGATGTAGGGAATCGGGCAGCAGATGAAAGACGATTCTCTGCCTGAGACCCTGGAGAACTGCTGCCCGTCAGAACAGACAGTACTGAACTAGAGGAGCCAATAGCTTGATCTGGTATAAGGCAGCTTTACATATTCCAAACTTCACCCACCTCTCACTCTTTGTGACAAAGCAGACCCAAATGGGAAGTTTTGCATGTGGTACAATCCTTTGACGGGCCTGAATCAGTAAACAATACACATGGGAATCAGTCATTTGAAATTATCTCTAGCCTTGTACAGATGATCTCCCTGCACATTGACTGAATGTGAGGGGAAGGAGACCTGGCATAAGCTTGCTGGCCCTGCCTCCACACTATTGTCAGGTCATCTGCATGGCGTAAACATGTGGAGGAAATATCTGTACATACACTCCCTCCCCATGATCAGCAGTGCTCAGCGTTGCTGATTGCGGGGAGGTAGCATACATGTGGACGCTTCCTATGTGTGTAGGCACTGCTCATGAGCTAGTGATTGTGCAGAGGCAGGGGAAGGAGCCAGTGTACTCGTACCCATTCTTCCTCCCTGTACATTCAGTCAATGTGCAGTGGAGGGGGGTCATCTATACAGTGATTATGTCAAATAGCATTTTGTTTGAAGAGCTAACAGATCAGACGTGTGATCATCCTGAACTGAGTCAGGCCTGCAAGAGGACTGTACCAGCATGCTTGAACTTGCTCTGAACACTGGACAGGTAGGTGCACATGAAGCTGCCTTATACAGAACCAAACCATGAATCCATCAAGGTCACTACTGTCTACTCAGACTGGCAGTAGCTACCCACGGTCTCAGGTAGGGGTCTTTCCCATCACCTACTGCCTGGTTCTTTTAACTGGAGATGCCGGGGACTGAACCTGGGACCCTTTGCATGCAAAGCAGATGCTCTCCCACTAAGCCACAGCAACTTTTTCTCCTTTGAGAAGCAGCACGTTGACTTTGAAGACAGAAGGTCTCTGAGGACATGCATCTTCGGATGGATAGGGATAAGCATTGAACCATCAGTTTTGTCACACTTCTTCACCCAGTCCTCCTTATTGCTTGGCAGGATGATACAGAAAACTAATCTATACTTGGATGAGAGAATATATCTTGGGGCAGTTTGTCACCTGCATGAGCTCTCTGACATTGTGTAGTATGTGAGGTATCTGGCCCATCTTGATCTGTGTCCCTGATCATTGTATACAAACTGGAGAGAATGCTTGCACCAATGAATTCTGGATCTAGGGAAGATGGAGACAAGTGGAATATATGGGGCTGGACCCAGTGAGGCTTTTTTGCTGAGTCTCATCCAGTCTCCATTCCACATGGCTTTTGTCCATGCAGATCTCATGACCTCAGGATGGTATTCGTGGTTAAAAAGAACCCCCTTCCTCCCTTTTTCACCAGGGGAAAATCTGTTTGGATCCAACCTATAGACTTTGGATTATGATGTAATGATCCAGATCTGAAACATGGCCAAGATGCTAAACCATCTGGAACAAACTTTTTGGATTGGTTTTACTGGGTTTTTGTTAAGCCTCCATGCTAGCCAGTTAGCTATTTAAAATTTGCATACATCTAGAGGAATTTATGTAGGCAATAGCCGTTTGTTGCAACGTCAGCTAATCAGACGAAGCAAGGGCTAATCAAGTGCAGAGCATAATGTTGCACCAGAAATATTTTAATTTTACTTAGTATAAGATTTTTTTTAAAGGTACAAAATAATTTACAGTTTGCTTGGTTTTAGTCAGGGTAATTTTTTAAAATTGTCTAATGAGAACACATTGTGCTAATTTTCATATGCAGATTCAATTAGCATTTAGTTAATTAGCCTTTACAAATGAGGATTAACTTAATTACATAACACTAACCTCTCAATAACTCTAAAGGGTAGGAAGGCTCCTTTTATTAAATTCATAAGGCCTGTATGTGTTTGTTAAAATTTGAAATGGCACTCACATAAATTAAGCAATATTACCCACAGAGGACAACTATTAGAGATGACGATCAAAGGAAACAAACTATGTACATGGCTTTTTTAAAAAGCTTGGATACAGACTCACACACACAGCTGTCTGCTGGCGTCCAGAGCAATTTCGGCTTTATGATAGGCGTACTTAATTAAAGGGCTGAAAGTTCATGTTTAGTAATGTACTAGATGTTTATGTGCGTATATGTGCAATGCGAACCATCTACATGACAGTCATCTATATAGACATTGTATGTTTACAAGATGGGGCTCATCAGAAATCTTGGGGGTGGGAGAATAAATGAATAACTGGGAAATCTTCTAAATCTCCTCCAGGGCACTATACTGTATTTGTGGGTTTTAAAAAAATATATAATTTTTTGCATATGATGTGGAGTCTCTGGATATACACATATCCTTATCTGTGGTTTGCATCCTATTTCACTGTCTACTGTGGTGTGATATGCAGAAATCCCTGTCTACGGGTGGGTCCTATTTCACTGCCTGCTGATCAGCACTCAGCCATGGATTTTCGTATTGAAAGGAAGAAGTTAGAGGGCCATGGGAAATTGGGGTAAGGGGCAGGGCACACAGCCACAAGGACTCACGAGTCGCAGAAGAAGGGAGAACTGCTGGCCAGTTAGTCATGGCCTGGGACCTGAGCTTGGCACACCAGACTTTAAGAAAACCTTTTAAAGGGTTAAAAAAGGGGTTTCCATGATGAAAACTTGTGGGCGGGGCTATAATTAAGGGGGCAGAGCCCCGAAATGCCCCACTGTAGCTACGGGCCAGGGGGCAGCAACTTGTAAAATCCCCCCCCAGTCCCTTAATTGATTTGCAACTGCTCTCAGCATTCTGTGCTCTGAAGCATATTCAGTCTTATCTGGCCATTGGGGTGTATTTCACAAAGCCATTGTTTTGGCATACCTGGGGAAGATCCTCAATACATAGAAACCACTATCTTTTTTGTGGACGGTCTGGTTTTGCTACTTTCACTATCATAATGGGCACAGTCATTACTTTTAGAAACGATGATACCAGTTATGCCAATATTTCTATCTACTTCTCCTGGGGACCTCTTGGTGGTTAAACCCTAGGGTTGCCAGGTATCCCCTGGCCACCAGCAGGTGCTCTCAGCATTCTGTGCTCTGAAGCATATTCAGTCTTATCTGGCCATTGGGGTGTATTTCACAAAGCCATTGTTTTGGCATACCTGGGGAAGATCCTCAATACATAGAAACCACTATCTTTTTTGTGGACGGTCTGGTTTTGCTACTTTCACTATCATAATGGGCACAGTCATTACTTTTAGAAACGATGATACCAGTTATGCCAATATTTCTATCTACTTCTCCTGGGGACCTCTTGGTGGTTAAACCCTAGGGTTGCCAGGTATCCCCTGGCCACCAGCGGGGGATGTTGAGTAGGATTGCCAGATCCAGGTTGCGAAACGTCGTGAGATTAGCCTGGGGACAATAGGGACCTCAGTGAGCTACAATGCCATAGAGTCCACCCTCCAAGGCATCCATTTTCTCAAGGGGAACTGACCGCTGTAGTCTGGGGGATCCTCAGGTCCCACCTGGAAGCTGGCATCCCTACAACAGATGTGGACTTCAAAACCTGGATCGGGGAGGAGGGGATCATTGATGATTACATCAGCATTGTGTGTGATTTAGGACTACATTTCACCTTGGTGAAAATATTGTTTATTTTGTGCTGGGAGGATCCCCCTCCCCTAATCTGGAGGGAGAGCATTCAGAAGTGCAGAGTACCCCCTCTCTTACAGCTCAGTTCCAAACTGACGAATCTGGACGCTGGTTAAAGAAAGCCTGTATCCGGGGGGGATACAGATAGGGTTGCTGGCTACAACTGGACAAATACCTGGAGATTTGGGAGTAGAGCCTGGGGGAGGGGAGTTTGGGGAGGGGAGGGAACTCTGCAGGGATTTGTTGCTGCAGAGTCTGTCCTCTGAAGCTTCCATTTTCTCCAGGAGAACTGATTTCTGCAGTCTGGAGATCAGTTGTAATTCCATGAGATCTCCAGGGCCCACCTGGAAACTGGCAAGCCTAGTTGCAGATAAAGCAGAGGGATGCTGGATCTCTTTTCTCAGATAGTAGGTAGTTGCATGTAGTCTAAGAGCTGTGCACCACCAATGTAAGGGATCCCAGGACACACCTCAAAAATCATGTATTGGATGGCAAGATGACTTGGGAAGACCATGCCTCACTGGGTCATACAGCATTTGGCCAAATGGGTATGCAGCCCCTGGCATGTGTGTCGACCGAGGCACATCAGACCATTTTGACTGGCACTCCCAGATTTCTGCCCAGGAACTGGCCATACCTCTGGAGTCAGCCGTGCAGAAGGCAGTAGGCATGGCTGATGCCCATCATTGCCTGACTTGCACAACCACCAGCAGAGTCCAAGGCAAATCCCTGAGATGCTGGCAGTGCTGCTGAGGCTCAGCTTGATCTGAGTATGTCTGGCCAAGTACGACCCTCACATCATTTGATTTGCCAGAGCACTAACATCTTAATGGGTAGGCACTGCATTCCCCCCCCCTCCCCCAGCACTTGGGCCTGCCTCTGGGTTATGGGAACATTCCCATGCTCTGCTTTCCTGCAGAAGGACAAATTTGGTTTCTGAATGATGGCAAGTCTAATAATGAGAGCCACACTGCTGTACAGAATTGATTGTAATACTGTGACATCTCTGTCTGTTCATACAGGGCTTTTGGGAAAACCACAACAAACTGATAAATGAGTATGGACCTGCCTGTGGGTAAGATATACTTGTTTCATTACCTTATTTTGTCATTGCTTCTCTTGATTTCTACTTAGCTCAGTTTGAGTGGATTTAGTAGTGAATTCTGGGCATGTTTCCAGCACTAAGGTTTACAATAAGATGACATGGCACAAGTATCAGGATTGTTAAGCAATATCTGAATTTAAATATTCTTGTAAAGGACAGGAATGCTGGCCACAAGAGTGCAAATTCGGTTTCACTCATTTACTCATGTTTAGTTAGTTGCCCTTATGGCAGAGTTGTGCTAGTAAAAGCCCTGTGAAATTCTGAAGGAAGGAGGGGAGGGAGAATCACTGAAATTCTGAATATCTGTTGAATTTGGATCCAAACTAATTTGGAGCTGGAATCTGGCAAAGGTTCTCTGGCTGAATTTAACTTGAGCAGCTGAAGTCTTGCAAAGACCTGAGGGTGAAAGTAGATCTAATATCAGAAGAGAGAACATAGTATGGCCCTCAGCCATGGGATGAGCCTGTTTTCCTTCTGAATTCACAGCTGAAATCAAATGTGCATATTACTGACAAGTCCAATGCTGGCTCTTGCCCCTCCCCATCAGAAAATGTCTAGACCAAAAGCAAAGGCTAGAATAGTAGGTAGTTATCAAAAAACAAAAGTGCAAGGAGGGAATAATATTTGCAGCTTCTGATTGTCCATTGAAAAATTGATTGGCTGTGCAGATTAAAACAAACAAACATTGCTTTGGCAGCATCTGCCACTAGGGGTGTGCATACAAAAGAATCAGTATTTTTCAGGTTCAGATATACCAGACCCGAAAAATATTGGTATTTGCTGATATTCCATCAGGAAATGATCAGCATTGCCAAATTTATTCGGCTCAATTATATTGGAGCATGCCACCTCAGCAGTGCAAATCCACAGACTGAGGGGGTTTAAAGTTTAAATCCCCCCTCTTTGGAGTTGCGTGGCACACTCCCTTCATGGAAGGGAAGGCAATTTGCACATCCCTATCTGCCACCACACCACAAGGATCTTCGCTGCTTGACTGAAGGAGGTTGTATGTAAGCAAGAAAAGATTTTTTACAAGATTGTTCATTAAAGGCTGCGGTCACACGTAACAGAAGCCACACAAGTGAGACGGAAAACAGCCGGAGTTTCCGGGCACGATCTCACCAGCACATCTGGGAAGCGTAGCACTCCCGTGGCTCAACCGAGGCTTCCAGCCGAAACTGCGTGGCAAAAAACTAGTACCTTGGAGGTACTAGTTTCCGGAAACTGCGGGGAAAGGGCGGGCGTCTGATCGCGTTTCCGGGGGCATCCGGCGCCCGCCCATGTCCCCTTGCAAATAAGGTGGGTTTTTTTGTCCAAGTCTCTGTGGATGCGCATGCGCACCCAACGGAGCATGCGCATTTGTCATGTACACACAAAAACAAAACAGTTTGCCGCGGCACGCGCTTCTTCGTTGTGCGGCAGCTTGTCCTGTGATCGGCACCTCTCCCTTGCCATGGAACCTCCACGGTACCTCCACAGGACCTCCACAGGAGGTCTGATCACGTAACTGCGCAGTAGTTTGCCCCAGGGCAAACAGCCACGCTTCTCCTCTGCAGTTTCCTGCCCGTGTGACCGGGGCCTAAAAAGAGCTTCTGCCTGAAATGTTGAAGAGTTACTATTAAATTTATGTGTAACCTCAGTCCCCAGCATTTTGTACTTGGCTCCACTTCCTGTGGCATCCATTTTATGGTTGGTTGGCTCTGCCTTCTATGGTGGCCATTTTGTTGTTGCCCCCACCATCCTGTGTCAGAATTCAAAAGGTGCCTGCAGGCTCAAAAAGGTTGGGGACTCCTGGCCTATAGGCTAGGGAGCCCTGACCTGGATAGCCAAGGGTAATCTGATCTCATCAGATCTCAGAAGCTAAGCAGGGTCAGCCCTGGTCAGTATTTGGGCAAGAGACCCGAGGGTTGCTATGTAGAGGCAGGCAATGGTAAACCACCTCTGATCATCTGTTACCTTGAAAATCACACGGGATTGCAGTTAGTCAGCTATGAAAGCGGGGGGGGGGGGCGCGGGGGGGGGTAAAGGAGGCTAAGGAAGAAGAGTTAGAAATTCTAGGTATGAAATGAGTTAATGGGAGAGAAAATGATCAAAGTTTGAACTTTACCTGGGAAAATTCTTACTGAGATCCTAATGTTGGTTAGAATTTGCACATGGATTTCTCATCAACCTAAATTTAAGTTTTAAATTAAATATTTTGGTTCTGAGCGCATTTTCCATTGTATGTGTAGATTTCAGTATTTGAGGAACCTCTGTCAGTGCTAGATGGTAGAGATGTGTTTCAGCAAGAGGTGTTTTTTTTAATCTTAAATGTCATATTTCTGTGAAATACCAAATATTCCCAAGAGCTACATTTGTAATCATTTTAAGCCCTTCTTTTGATGAGGAAGAGAGACATGCTAATTATTTTAAGTGCAATTTTCCAGGTACTGCAATATTTTAATTAGTGCTGAAATGTTGGGAAGGAAATTCTCACTCCATTTACTGAGCTACTTTTTCTGTTATTTCAGTGTGTTATTATGTTATTCTCAGAGATAAAAGTAGCTTCAGTTTCCTACTGATACTGTTTTCCTTAGGGGGACTCGAAGCAGAAAATGAGAGGTATCTTCTTGACTATTTTCTTGCCAGTACTTCATACCAGTTCCATTTTCACCCCTGGTTATGTTATTAAGGGTTTTATTTACATTTTCATTTGTTCATAGGGTTTGCCAGCTCTGGGTTATGAAATTCCTGGAGATTTGGGGGTGGAGCGTGGAGAGGGTGGGGCCTGGGGACCGGAGGGGTCACCCAACACGTTCCCACAGCAAAATGAGGATCTGAACCCAGGTCTTTCACATTTTTCTCCAGGGGAATGGGAATTAATCTTTGTTGCTTGGAGATCAGTTGTAATTTCAGGAGATCTCCAGCCACTGCCTGGAGGTTGGCAGCTGTTCAGAATCTTAGGTACTTGTCACTTGCCCATCATTACTTAACCCATCTTCACTGCTGAGTTTGTGTGGGAGTTAACTCCTTTCCTGTCTCATAAAAGTAAAGCTCTTTCTCTGTTCTCTACCCTCTGCTTTTTGCAGAAAGGATAGATAACCCTCCTATAGTTTGTGAAACGTTCCTTACACTCTCTAGTCCTTTACTACTGAATTTATATGCATTGTGCTATTTTTAACACATTGATTCCACAGCCTTCCATCTGAACATCTTTCACAGCCTTCCATTTGAACATCTTTCAGACATACATTGAAAGGATTCAAGCTCTCTTCACATATGGTTTTTAAGTGTGTACAATTAACAATTTCAGTATCCAGTTTTAAAATGTAGTATGAATGCAATAAACATGCACTTGCAAGTCCGGTTTCCTACAGGTACACTAGCGAGAAAGCTTTGGCTTATTCAGGCACAGATTAGACATTATGGGGAAATGTGCAGGTGCTGCCATCCTGTGTCTCTGCCCATGTCTCCTAGATATGTTACTAAAAAAATGCTAGATGTGACATAATCATGATAGTTCGTACCTCCTCCCTACAAGTGGCAGCAAATGAAATGGTACTGGCAGGGCTATTTTTCGGCAGGAATGGGAATGCACAGGAACGGAGTTCCGGCTGGCTTCAGAGTTGGTCATGCCCACTACAGACAAAACCTCTGCGTGCGTGGCTACAGAGGGAAGGCATGGAGAGCAACCCCCACAGTGACTCCAAGGCGGGCGGGCCAGGGCGGCCCCTGGAAGGAGCAGGGAGGCATTTAAATGCCTCCCTGTGCATTCCCTGGCCTGTCCAAGGGCCCACTTGCCCAAGCTTCCCACAGCCATGGGGTGCCCAGGCAAGCCAAGGGAAGGCATGGGGTGTGGCCTAATATGTTAATGAGTTTCTGCTGTTGAGTGTGGCCTATTATGCTAATGAGTTCCTGCTGGGCTTTTTCTACAAAAAAAGCCCTGGGTACTGGTCAATGTTAACATTGCCAATAGCATCACATCTTGCAGATGTGATCTCCCCAGCTAGCCCGGTCTCGGAAACTAAGCAGGTCAGTACTTGGATGGGAGACCACCAAGAAAAGTAGGCTCACAGCACAGAGGCAGGCAATGGCAAACCACCTCTGAATGTCTCTTGCCTTGAAAACCCTACCATCTCCTGTGACTTGATGGCCCAAAAAATATTGCAAAGTAACCTTCCAAAGTTTCATGAGAACTTCGGAGGGGAGGTGGACTCTATGGCATTGTACCATGTTGAGGCCCCTCCCCTCTCCAAACCCCGCCCTCTCCTGACTCCACCCCCAAAGTCTCCAGGTATTTTCCAACCCAGACCTGGCTACCCTAGTTTGTCTATGGAAACTGCTCAGTAATTTTAAAAATAATATTACCAAACAAAACAGAAGTAACCACTAATGGAATCTGGAATTAAGCATGTGCTGAGATCTGTTAAAACTGCTGTAACAGAACCATGCGTTAGGCTTATCCATGTTGTCTGGGTTTGTCATTGGTATTTCATCAAATTTCTTCATCCTGGGATAAATGTGGTCATTAGTGGTGATATCAAGAATTTGGTACTAATTGTGCCCATATTTTTTGTGGATGCAACGAAATGGTAACAGAATTTAATGCAACAGAAGGATCTTTACTTGGTCCACATTCTTAAAATTTTCATGTAATCATTTTATTCTAGGATATATAACTTCTTTACGGACGTTTCCCCAAATCATGTGTTCTGGATCTATAGATCTGATCACTGTAGCTTTAAGTGTAATATATTTCCATCCATGAACCAACAGGCTAGCTTGATCTGTGGGTTAAAGAGAAAATTATGTATATTAAAGATACCTCGGATAGCAGGATTCGTAGTAATTCTTTGAGCAGTGATACATCCCACAGCTTGCCTTTTATAAGGATCATTCTCATGACTGCCATGTCTTCTCTTTCTCTTCTTATCCTGTTACCTTTCCCGCTTTCTTTTTGCTCTATTTTGCAGTAGTTGGGGTTTTGTGTG